TATTATAAGTGATAGCGTAGCATTACAATATATCTTTGCTATAACCAATTCATTACAGGCAAGCTACATTTCGATATTTGATATGCTATTAGGACAATTGTAGGAAAATTCTTGATTTAAAACCATCAAATTTAATTCTGTGCTATTTAGGGATTCATAATATTTGTATTCCACTGTGCCAGAAATTATCAAGTATATAAATTAATTTTAATCCGTTTACTTCTTTAGGAATGACTCCAATATTTTTACCTTTGCTGTACTCTAATATTAATTCCTGTTTTATTCTCTACACACACAGTTACGAGATGCCTTTGATTCTGCAAGTAAGAAAAGTCGACGAGAAACGCAAAGTAAAAGTAGAAGGCCAACAAATCCGTATGTATACGAATTTCTGTAGTGAGATATTTCCTGTATGGGCTAATTTCCTATAGGTCTATTTTCCACCTACCTTAAATTACTGGTAATTGATAATATTCCAATCTGTAAATTGTTCTATTAATTCCGATAGGAGTCAAAGTAATAAGAAATCTGACAGTCAACCCAAATCATCATCTAATTACTCAACCTCTCACTCACCACAGACAAAAAGGTAAAGATTAATAGTTGTCTTTCATGCTAAACTATAGAGCTTTGTTATGCACTCAAGTTTATTTTAACTCTAAAAACAAGTAAAGTTATGGTCATGTCTCGTAAATAACTCTTTTAGTAATGTAGAAATTGATGAAATAACATCATTTCATATTAAATTAATTCATTGAGCGTATCTCGTACTAAACTTCTTGCTTTTGCCAATGTAAATTAGGAGAGCTGTAACCTTTTCATCAACATTAGATGATGAACCAGTTCAAGAATCGCAATTACATAAATCTAAAATCACTAACATGATGCAAAAAATCAAGCAAACAAATGTAATTTTATTGACGTTACTTAATTAAATTAGCTCCATAAAACCGATGATTTATTGCGATACAGTCTTATCTATAAACAATTAACTGAGTTTCAATTAATAGTTAGAAAAATATTTTGCCAAAATAAAAAATTTCCTTATCTGAACTTTGATTTTCCTAACTCTAAATTAATCTTTTATGTAGCTTATCTATATACAGTTAACTGAGTTTAATTAATGGTTAGAATAATATTTTGAAATAATTGAAAATTTCCTTTTGTTGAATTTTGATTTTCACAATTCCAAATTAATCCTTTGTATAGCCTACATCCAATGTCCAATTTTTATCAAAGCGACAAATCAAAGAGGAATTGCAAGAATCAGACATTGAAATTAGCATAAGCAGAGATGAAAGTGATAGTAAAATGGATATCACTAACGATCAATTATCGGAGTCATTAGAGACGATTGATATCGTTAAGGTTGTATACCGACATTAAAGGATGATTTTAAATGAGAATTTGAAACTTTAAAGATACTAATGTTAGCCCATCAATATTTCTACTAAATTTAGAATGGAACTTTGAATGAAGTACCAGTGGCTGATAATAAAATCGAGGTTTGCAAGACATGATAATGGTCTTAACTTTTTTCTAGCTAAAGTTCTCTACCTACATTTCATCTAATTGAGGCCATTCTTGATGCCATCCTATCTTTACTTACATTAGGGGAAAGTCTTGAATCACCAAAATCAACTTCAACAGAATGATGATTCAAAAGTAGAAAAGGATAAACCAACAGTTTCAGTCATAGTACCAAAACGAAAATCTTCATTAAAGCGGATTAAACTAAGTTCAGCTAAAGTAGAAGAGAAGAAATCTGTAACACCAGCAGCCACAGCTAAAAATGACCCAATATCTAATAAACGGATAGAACCAAAGGGCCAATCTCAAGCCGATGATAATGGAAAACAAGCTCTGAAATCGAGTAAGCCTTTACATAGCCAGCAACTACAACCACCTAGAAGAGTCTCTTCGCTGAAGAAGAAGAAATTGAATCATGAGGAAGAATCGGCATCGGAGGAAAAACAAAGTCGAACTACAACAACTCAGGACTACAAATCTGATAGGACTAATGTTAGTCCTGTTAGATCTCAAGAAAAGCAGAAATCGATAATTCCTCAAGATCACAAATACAATAGAGCTACATCTGAAGAAAAGCAAAATTCGACTGCAACTGCAGCTTATAAATCCAACAAGATCAATATTAATACAACAGCGTTGAAAGAGAAGCAGAATTTGGCTGCCGCTCAAGATTCTAAATCAAACAAGGCCAATATTAACGAAGCCCGTTTAAGGACGGCAAGTACTTCATTAATCGGCAATAAAGCCACTCAACTAAATTCAACTGCTACTCAAGATTCTAAATCAAATAAGAGTAATATTAACGAAATCCGTTTAAGAGCAGCAACTACTTCGTCAATTGGTCGTAAAACTAGCCAGGAAGAAAGGAAAACTATTCCACTACCAAAAGATAGTTGCTACAGTTATGATGAGAAGAAAATTTACGTTGGAGGATTGAGTATGAATACCAACGAATCCAAATTAACCGAATATTTTAATCAATTTGGTCAAGTTTTTAAAATAGATAAGGTTAAGAAGCGATTAGACAAAGTTATTGGTACTATCCAATCCTTTACTACTATTGAATTTAAAAGTGCCGATCCACTTCAACGTATTTTAGTAACAAAATCACACACAATCGATTATAAAATGATCCAAGTACTGCCGGCTATTAAAGCAATGGTGTCCATTAAGCCATCGAGGAAGATTGCCATTATCGGTTTTGCAGCCACCACATCAGAAAAGGAAATAAAGCGTGTCTTTAGTCAGTATGGACGCATAAAAACAGCAGAAATGCAATGGCAGGAACATGATATGGGCACATGTTATTTGACTTTTGATCAAGAATCCAGTGCAGCTAAAGCTACGGAGATGGTCTATTCAAAGTTAGGATTATCGACTGTTCTTGTTATACCCATACCTGATGATCCTCAAACTCAGCAACAAGATAATCAGTCCAGTGATGATGAAGTTATGGTGTAAGATTTACCACGATACGGGTAGAACCCACATTAAGTAACGAAAATGCTAGCTATATAATACGAAGATGAATAACACCTTAATTGATATTATTTATTATGCGATCAAGCAATAAGATAATTAGGTGACGAAGTTTTGATGTTGGACATGGATACGAACAAGTCGTTAGAGCATTCTGTGTTTAACTTCCACTATAATCATTAACAGCAATATGATGAATGTTTAACACGCGATAAAGGAATAACTATAGTTGAAAGCTACTAAAATGCCTACTCTTAATGAAGGTTACCTATAGCCCTTGTCATGATCATATCGCATGATAATTGTAATTAATATTACAATAAAAGCTGATCAGAGTTACGGATTAAAATTTAAATCCCGTAACATTAATTGATGATATAATTTGTCTTATCACTTGTCCATAGAAGTTAATTATGAATAGCACACAAGACAATTATATCATTTACTTTCTAAGGATAATGATGAAATTTTAGTAAATACCAATTTGTAAGAAATCGAATCTACTAAAATACTTCTTCTCATTATCCTGTCTGGAGTAACTCTTACTCATATGTAAAGTATACATATCTAAAATAAAAATATATTTATTACATTACAATAAAATAATGATAGATATAAAATAAATATTTATAATTTGTGATAACAAATAATCCAATAATTAGATAATATTTATGATTTATTTAAAGTTACGAAATATTATGAAGCGGCTAATTATATAGTATTATAATAATATCTATTGTAGCTCCAATTTGGCTAGGTAAAGCATCTTCACTTTCATATAACACATAAACCTACAGACTCATGTGTATTAATAACTAGTTTTAACAATCTGAAGGGGATGCTAATTAATGTCTTCAATTTATATCGTAAATGAATGGAATTTTTCTACGTATTTTAACAGTAAAAGAATAAAGTTACTTGTTACTAGCCAACTATAATCATCAATAATGTAATCATTAGAATATGCAAAAATTTATTTGTCATGGTATTCTTATCATTTTGTTACGGGTAATAGATTAAAAGGTTATTTAATACCGTTCGATCGGCGATATAATAACTATAGAATATCAACGAATGGCTTTTGCAATTTTTGCAATTTTTCGATGCTCTGTACTCTTGTTATAATTGATATAACATACGTAAAGTAGAAGTCGATTTTTTGCTAATACCATCACGGCCAATCGGAGGTGAGAGGGAAAAACTATGGATTCTTATATTGCAATTGTGTAGTCTCCAATTAAACTTAACCTTCAACCGAAGTACACGCTATAGTTAAAACAAACAAAAAGATACAAATATAATCATACAGTGAGAAGGCCATCTTATTATTGATCACTCGAAGGTTTATTGCAGGCTTAAAGAAATATTTTGCTGGCGGAAATATTCATTTTCTCTAGAATCCAAGTACAGTAAAGTGCAAATATTCATCTTAACACACAGATTGTGCCTACAGTAGCTGGATTGTAAAGTTGATGCTAATACTCGTCAAATCTATTGATTCAGAAATGCAATCATTTAAACAAATTGATTATAATTGATTTTCCCTGCTCAGTGGGACATGCTAAACTCCTGTTTTAATGGCCGGCAAGTTACTATGCCGGTAGATTATCTACTCTAGTGCGTAAATCATGCCATACTTTCCAGTCATCATAGTTAGTCCATGATACTTTCATCGCGACCGCTGGGATTGCTGTTTACTGTTATTCATCACCATATTCATCTGTGGTTATTCTTGTTGATACAGTTCTCCTACAGGAATTAACTTAGTTTAATCCTTCTCATCCTTTTCTCTTTCTTCTCGATAAGTAAAAATAATTTGCATCTGAATGCAATTTAGTATCGTCTAAAACATCGTGTCTATCGGTACTTTCTGTGAGACGACATAACTAACGTTTATTAACGCCTCATCGAGACTTTAAAAGCTAGCAAGTTATACTTTAAGTATTTTGTCCTCTTTTCACCGTCCAAATAATTGCACCCTAGGCATTTCGATGACTCTTTTTGTAGCCCTTATCGATGAAATAACAATAAGTGGTAGTGTTGGCTTGTCAGTTCATGGGCTCTATCGAGTCATAACCGAACGTACAATATTTGCCATGCCAAAAACATCTATAGGTCTGTATCCGAATGTAGAAGGATCGTACTTTTTACTACGATTGAAAGGTAGACTGGGCATATATTTAGGCCTTACAGGTGAATGTTATAAGTTTATCTTATTGATATTTGATAAGACTTTGGATAGAATAGTCTCAAAAATGATAAGTGTTTAATAGTGTTCTCGAAACAAATTCACTTGGCTGCAGTGATCAGATTGCATATATGATGCGTTAAATAGATATACATTCTATGCCTATAAAATTATATTATATATCAGAACCGAGACAAGCAAAAACAGCGATTACGATAGGAGAAAATCGATGTTATTTTAAAAATTAATATTAGATCCAATCATTTAATTCCAATATTACTATACAAAACGATAGCCTTCCTTAGTAAAACTTTCTATTTTCGTTAATAGAGAATAGATTAAAAGGTAAAGATGTTTATTTTGCTGCAATAGCTACCCACTATATTCGATCACAAGATATCTGCGAATTAGAAGAGAAATTTATTAGTCAAGATAATATTACGGATCGTATAAATCGAGAAATTCTAAATCAATATCACATGAAGGTAAGTTAATCAATAATGAAAGAGTATCAACACTAGAATAACGATTTGCGTAAGCTAGGAACAGTAAAAACTGTAACGTAAATAGTGCTATGGTAGACTTATATTTACGTTATGCAGAATATGCTAACAAGCCGATTTAGAATACGTAAAGTTTAATAAGTCATGCTCAGACAATTCCATATCATACCATATTAATAAATTAAGCCAAATCTTTACTTGTATAGTTAGTCATAACTGCAGTTTTTACTCCATAGCAAATGACAATATTATCTTTTGCATTCCCTTCGTCTTATATTTTTTAAGATTAACTCATTGACTAAGGCCATACTTGTTTTATCACTCCATAACGAATATTAATAAAATCAATTTCATCGTTACTTGGTAAAATATAGTATAAAGGTGGAGAGTTTTCTTTCCAAGTATATAAATACAATCAATAAGTGCTTTAATGGAAAAACTATAGAAGAAATCTTTACTCTACTAGAAGAAGATGGTTCAGAGTGGACTAAAATTGCCTCAAACATTATCGTAAATTAACTCCTACTGTATTAAAAGTCGCCATTCGTACTTTACAAAAAAGAGCTACAGCATCTTGCTTAGCTGATGTTTTGTTAATAGAACACCGTATCACTCAGAGAATGACGGAGACCAAAGATTTTATGAAGGAGCTAAAGCTGTATTAATCGATCGTGACCATAACCCAAAATGGGATCCTGCCACGCTTGAAGAGGTCACTGATGAAAATATCAACGCTCAATTTAAGCCAAGTGATGATGGAGATCTGATATTGCCCAGGCAGCAATTCTTGTAATTCTCTAATACGTGTATAAATAAAATCTAGTATCATTCTTTAGTATACATCATCGAAAGAGTGAATATTTTAACTTATCTACATTCGCATTACTAACATAACTGTTGTTATTCTATCTTATTATCATCTTTTTCAAGACGTTAAGTGATAGAAGAATTTATGAATCCAGGTATAATCTGAGGCTAAATACAAGGCGTAATTGATAATGGATATACACGTATATGAATTACTAGTCATTAAGGTTACCAATACGAGTCGGCCAATACCGCGTAATATAAGAAATTCTAATGAAATTTTATTTAATATAACAGGTCTGCCAACAGATATTAATCACTGCACTTTTGTTAAATGTTTTCAATAGTGATAATACTTCAATAATCATAGATTCAAGAAGTGGAAATGTGATTATAATTTTTAATAACTGCAGCTTTAGCAATTAGCAATACTTTTATTTACTCAAATTTATTTAATAACAAGTACTTATTCGTAGAGTGCAATAGTAATCTATCTCGACCGCCGTTTTGTCGGATGAAATGTTTGTATTGTTTAGGTTTGCTTCATATATTCTTATATGTTCTTACGTGCATAGACGTATACTAATTGTAAACTAGCATTAAAATCTTGAAATAGTGCTAATATTTACTAGTATACGCTTAACAGCAAATTTTCTATATTTATCTCGAGGAAAATAATACTGCTCTCATGACGGAGGGTTCAAAGAATCTTTGGATGTGGAATCTTTAGATGTTTCACAATAATTACACCAGGGGTTTACTAGAAAGAGGAATATTTATTGTAGAGAATAAATAAGCTACAGCGTGGCGGTTACAGGTAGATCAGCGGATAATCTGTTGTGAAGTAAAGAGTGTAGATACTAACACTTACAAGTGCAACTAACAATTCCGAGGCAGAAATCATTGGTATTTATAGATAAAGAGATAGAACAAATACAGAGAACAGGATTGTAGAATTGGATATGGCATTTACCATAAATAGACAAAGTAATAGCAAATGATTGTATGAAATAGCGAAGACCGTAGCACCTACACTGTAGGTGCTATGAATAACTAAATATAACAAGCTATGTTTGAGTATTGTTGAAATCGATTGTAAAGCTATCCATATTTAAGAATATGTTAAAGACTACAGTTTTGTAACTAGCTAAATGTTTTACGATATGCGATATTGTACCATTATCGAGATATTACTTTAAAATTTACAGTCAACAATAATAATAAAATGAAGAGATTGAATAGCAAGAATTTTGATCGAATTTACTTTAATCTGTGAGAACTCTTAGATTTTACGGCTTTAGTTTACTTAATATACTAGATGTATAATAAGTCCTGAGTATTAATTAGTAGTAGGATCATCAATTAGTGGCTTAAATCAATTAACTACTTGCATAGTATTAAAATACTATAGTATTGAAGTCGGATTATTACTAAAATGACACGTAGAAGTTAATACTATATATCTGACTATCAATTCCAAGCATTTAATGCTTTAAGTGAACATATTACGGCATTTTACATTAATTTTATCTGGCTAAGGTATTTATGATCATTTATACGTCTGATATTCATCGTATTAATTAATAAGGAACTAAAATCACAAATTATCAACTTTAGAGTTAGACTTCTTAGCAGTAACAAACATGCTTTAACTCGTACTGCATATTATTTGCTTTCTCCTATATTTAAATCATTTACTATTTACGAATGCGATAACTAATAACGAATTATAACCGCTAAAAGTTATTTCGATACCCTTTAGCAGTTAAAGATGAAGATTTCTTCTTGTTCATTCTTTGATATCACATAGAATTACTAGTTTTCTTTAGTATTTAGATCATTCATATCTATACATGTAGTAATTATTAGTAAATAGAATAACAGATTTCTTAGAGGATTTACTTTATTTCCATGTGCTAAGGCAGTACTTTCTTTCGTTCTTGAATTATTTATATTAATTAGCAAAATTATGTCCAAAGCCATTCTATATTCCCGCTGCCATTCGTAACAAGGAATTAAGACCTTAATTTACCAATTTTAAAGGTAGATTTCTTACTTGACATACTTTGACATCGTACATTATCACTCGCTTTCTTTTTAAACACATCCACAACACCCGAAAATGTTTTTATTCGTGACCGAGGAGGTTCGATTTCATTTTGTGATATTTCACCAAGACTAGATACGGTAGAAACAATCGAATATGGTGAAGCAATACCATCGCTAGTTTCTCCTTCTGAATCCTCATAAATAATATGTTTTAACTGATGGGAATAGCGTTGCTCTAATTCTAGTTTATAAATATGATTATCAAATTTAACATGATTAGCATTTTTGGCTTGACTTGCGGCATTTACTGAAGATGTTATCGTTGTTGTTGGACTGGGAGTAGTAATAGTTATTGCTGGTGAAGTAATGACAGCAGATGGATCAGATTTACCATTTTGAAATTCCAGTGCATTTCTATTAGCTGCGGTTAATTTATTAAAGGGTAATTTATCAACATCTTCGTCAGATGATACTGATGATGTTGATGGCGTAGGTTGCGATTGAGCTCGGATAGATATTCTCTTACTTTTCTTCTTGATATTACTTTGCTCTTCATCCGGCTGAAAACTAGGATTAGTGTAGGCATGTTTTTGTTGATCATGAGATGAATAAGGTTGGCATCGGATAACTGGTTTCTGAGTGGGATTATAATTTTGTTTCTCTTGTTCTTGCTTATTACTTTCTAGATCAGTTTGAAAGCCTGGACCAGAGAAAAAATTATTATCCAGTTCATCATCGTCTAAATCATCATAAGGTTCTCTATCCAATTTTTTCTTAGCGTCCCCAGATCTATTTCCACGTTGAAATAACGTTGCAATATCACTCATCCTTCTGGCAGTATTATTATTAACTGCTAAATTGGAGCTGATTTTGGTATTACGAACGGAGGATTTGGATAATGCAGGCAATTTGATTTGATCTCCATGATTTTGATTACTGGGTATAAAGTGTCTAAATAAAATCAAACACGAATTAGTTATATTGAATAATTTCATGTTATTTATTGTAAAGAGTGAAAATAAGTACCCGTCTTCTGAACATTTAATATGAACTGAATTAAAACATCAAACGTGGATAAGTTATTTTAGATTGCTGATAGATGGTAGATGCTACTTTACTACATAGAATGAAATTAAATCTCGTCCGTTTTTAAAATTCAACTTTAATACATTGCCCACGAAGTTGTCTTTAAATTGCAATAATATCCAGGTTAACTTAGCTTATAGTTTTAAATAGTATCGCATTGTAATTGGAATTGATTACGATTAATAATTGAAATAATATCTAAGTTAACTTCGCTCATAGTTTTAAATTATTTTGTATATGGAATTGATTGCTATAAATAATTAACTGAATTATAGTAAGCTCTTATCCAAGTTATGCCTTTGAATCCATCTTTCTTGTAACTGTTTCTAAACTTCCATTCTAGGATCACTAGCGTAGTGGTAATCAATCTAACTCAGTCCACACCTTTAAATATTGCGGTTATAACTAATCATCATACTCATAACCAGTTGTCTCCATTATAGCAAGCCTTACCTAACAAATTGTGCCGGAGTTGACGGGCGAGCTGATTCTACTACGGATTCAACGATAGCTCTATCATTTATTCAAGAGAGAATATACAGGTTAATCTTGCTAGGTTTAGCAAAATAGATAGAATAAACATTAGCTGATCTTTAGATTTATTATTGTATATCCATTTTTGTCAATTATTCCAACTGAACATAAGAAGTACATTTATTCCCTTACTGAGATCGCCGTCTTTCTAATAATTCAACACTTATTGGTTCCTTCTTGCTAAATTTCTTATTAAAAGCATTACTGATCTGAGATATTCATTAACATAGCCAGGATAAAAAATTTGATTAGATAACGCTTTAAATTTGTCTTATGTATTAATTTGTATGAAGAAATGGTTATAAGCAGCAAACGATGAAGAGGAAATCATCTCGTTTCCACTGCATTTGATAACACATAAATCAAAAGTTATCCTTACATCGTTGTTTTTAAGGCAATGAACGATTAAAATGAAAAATCCCTATAGTGAAATGAAAGTACAGTAGCAATCATGTTGTCATAATATGCATTTTAATTTAATTTGATAGAATATTAAACTACGGCAATGCCTTCAATCATTTTAGATGATGATTTCTTACCTGCAACGAAGTAAAAACCATAAAAATATAATTGATTACGGCAGGATCTGGAACAATTTCAGTAGTACTACCTAAAATCCATCCGATATTGCAAACAAAAACCAAGATGGCTGTATCGCGTAAAGTGATACTAGACCATTAAAAGTGATAGAGAAAAGGATTGTTGAAATGAATACATTCAAGATCAATTTAATTATTAATTATCCACCGGGTATTAATTATTTTAATAATTTTAACATGTAGGATTGATTGAATTCTAAAAGGATTATAGAAGCAAGCGCTTAATAAAATCTCTCATCGGAAGCAATTACCCAATTTCTCTCATGCCATCTTTGGATAAATTCCCATCCTTGGTAGCCAGTTTTTTAGCTCGATAATAAGTCAGTATGATGATTACGATATTAATCTATATTTGAAAATGGAAAGGGAATAGAAATAAATGTATAAGTAGAATAATAACAATAATAATTAATGGAGAAAGAGCTATTCTATAAGCGATGATTCGACACCGACTAACAGTCAACGATCAACTTAGGCATAAATTGGAATATTGCCTTATTCGCTACTTACGATAAAGATTATAGAAAGAGGGGCAAGGAATCCTAAAACTGCCAAATGCCTTTGTGATAGCCAGCATCTAAAATAGGTACAGAGGGCAAAGATTATTGGAGGAGTCATTTAAAATCAATCAAATTAAACAGAATCTTAGCTAACCCAACAGTACTCGTAAATTTATCATAGCCTACTATCCCAAGAGTTGCGGCTACGATCGCACCAGGAAATCCTAGAATGACGAAAGATATTGTTTCGATTCATATAAAATCATGACCAACATCATTTGAAACAGACTTGAATTATATATATAATTAATTAATTAATTATAAAGAGTTAAAGAGATGGATTCATGAAATCCATGTAGGGCGTTTAAAATGCATCAAAGAATTAATTTAAAGCTGGTACTAATTTCAAGTTTTGGCCTTAGCATAAAGGACGACGCAATACGTATGATTGAAGTAGATATTTCTAATTAATAAATACGTATATATAAGTGTAATTTCTTCGTTATAGATTGTTATAAGAGATTGATTAAGACCGATTAGTGATGATAAACACCCATCTACTCGCTATTAAATAAATCTTACCGTAGGCAAAAACATATAACCATAACAAGCGAACTTTCATATAAGACCCAATAACCGAATAGTAAAATGCGAAACTATCCAATAACATCCAGATGAAGAATGCTAATAAAAGATATTGAGAAGAACAGGCCAAAATGATACATTCGATCTATATTATTTGAATGTAGAAAAATCCATCATGAGCTCGATACGTTATATCATTATAAAATGACCGATCAATCTAATGGAAGAAGGCTGATTTAAAGGCATTGTATAATTAGGAACTTTGACTTAACTTACTTGTGATACTAATGCGTTAAAAGGCCGAACTCCAATAATGATGCAAATATTAGTCAGCAAGAGTGTTATATGCAAATTGAGACGTATGATGGTAACCTTACTCTTCAGGTAACTATAGTCATTTCACAATTCCGTGGTAATATGTAAATGATGAAGAACATGAGCACAGTTTAGAATATATTAATTATCAAGTTCAATCAATTCATGCTTCCTCTAATTTAAATGTTTTTATCTACATAATGCTAAGCTTAAAATCTTGCCACATCAAATTTACATCAAGTAAAATAAATAAATCTCTATATTCCATCATATCGATATATCAAACGATATTTTATTCTCGATGGTAAATAGTTTGGATCGAAATTGAAACCGTGTTCCTAATTACCTCCAAAGTATGGCATATGTAAAAATTGTCGCCATTAAACTCAGAATAGTCATCAAACAGCCTAGATAGGTCATAATTTCTGAAGCTTGATCTATTGGATCCTGAAAAAAAACATAGATGGAAATAATTATAGAATTTGTATAACAATGCTGTAATCGGATTGGTAAAATCATATATCCGGTTCTTACATACCTGCGCATCAACTTGCCCTGTCCATAGACTATAAATCTACAAACCATATTTAAGTAATTAATTATTGCTTAATATATATCAATAAGTTAGAATGAAATAAAAAATAATCAGTAGAAATGTTGAAGAATCCAAGAAAGAATCAAGAAGTGCAATCGATTTTAACTTTCAAGACGAAAACATCAACTTTAAGTATTTTACTACAAAAAATTGACGAAATTATCGATAAGTGCAACGATCTCAAGACTGATAGTTTTCCTTTTATAAGCATTTATAATCATAATTTATGGTTACCCTTCTATTAAAGTTTTTCAATGTTAAAACGAAAACGTTGAGCTCTAAGTTTTAATGTATATATCTAATGACACGTACAAAAGTACAGTTAAAATCAAGTCCTGTAGATTAGCTAATTTTAATCCTGTGCAATTTGCTATTAAAGAGCTACTAATATTACTTTTCATCTAACGATTTGAAAGTGATCTTATGGTCGTTTATATCTGATAAAAGACAACATGTCTAATAATAAAGCTGTGCGGATGCAAAAAGAAGGTATTTAAAGCTATTTAACGGTAGCAATCACTCAAAATAATTTTATTTAGATCTGGTAATCAATAAAAACCTAGTTTCTAAATTATTATGGACAATCGAATCATCAGTCTAAGTTATGCAGGAATTTCGGTTTAAATTACTGTCGTTTCCAATAAAATTGCATAAAACTGACTGGTAAAAACTGTATTTCTCACACAAAACTACGTAGATCCCTGTTTTACGTCCATGTTTGTGCTTAAATATTATTTTAAAACTGTAAATTAAAAGTAGTTCTTACCAAGAAGAAAATGGCCAATGTTCTTTTTTTATCCATGTTTATAATTATTTCAGACGAAAAAAAGGATCAAAAATGCCCAAGAAATAGAATTATCCTTCCATTTTATGATTTATCAAATAAGATTAAAACACCCAAGCCGACTTGATCTCTTTCGTTAATAAGCAGATGTTGGCTTATGAGTCGACTTATCTTTACTAGAGGTTGATCTGATCTATTTACTTAATTATCAGAGATATCATCTGCCCTACCTATATTGCTACAGTACTTCAACCATATGGTCACGTTTACTATTTCTACTAAGTCATCATCAATATCACGAGGCAATATTGCAGGATATCAAGCTTGTTATACTGGTCTTACAAAGTTGGAATTGATTTTTAGCTGATACTGAAATTGTCGATCAATCAAGAATATTGCCCAATAAAATACAGTGGTTTAATACCATGCCAGGATTATAGCTCGATAAATTTAGAAAAGAATAAATAATTTATTTCTCGGGTGGATAACAAAACAGCTATTTCCTGGTTTAAGATTAAGATCAATGATAAATCAGAGATTGCACACGCTTCAAAAGAAGTAAATAATTAATCGAGATCTTAGCAATATTAAACCGATAGTACATGTTGCCAAAAATAAAACAATCAGAGAGTATAAAGAATGAATAATTAGTTCTGATCTCAATAATAATATATAACTGATTTTTTTCATTAGGTGCAAACGTTTATATACGTAAGCTTTTAGCTTTATATCACTGATTGAGACTCGTATGCCTACGAGTATTTATTCAGAGCTATTATTATGATATGTCAGTATAATATATATACTTAAGAAAGCTCTATACTGAAATACAATGATAAGAGGAGTGAAAAATTATCGATAGAAACAAGACTTTATGATACCATTAAGCAAAAGAAGGAGAAATGAATCTTTAAACGGTTACATTCACGATATTTTTTACCGATTTCTACTTATTTAGAAGAATAATGTGCTAAAACTGATGCACTGATTAAATTAAACCTTACTGCTAGAATGATGAGATATTGTACTTCAAGGTTTTTGAGTAGAAAATGATGCAAAAATTTTTTTGTCCAGTCGATGACCCTGCATTTTATATCATCTATTAAAAACCAATTCTAGTTTATACTAGTAATGATCTTTAGTTTAGGAAGTCATTTTACTTCTCAAACATTACAAGATTGCAATGGATATTATCAAAAATGCTTATGATAATTAATTTTTATTTGTTAATTGATCAAAACTTCGTATTTATTTGACACTATACTGTAGGCATACATATTACCAATTTACCGCATGATTTTAACTTTCGCAATAAAATTGATTTAGAAAGTAATTTCGTAACTGAAATTTGAAGTAATATAAATATCATTCCTGTATCTATTTATCATATTAAATTAAAAAAATTAGCAAAGGGTTATTTATAACTAGACCAGCTGGGTATTTATGTTCTTCGAGGTAGGAGAAAATCAGATGATGAATCCTTTTTCTATTATTTATTTATCAAATAGCATCACTAATAGGCAATTAAATCACTTTTTCACAATTTTAGGGTAATATTTAATTTGTGTTACGATCAATGTATTGAATGTATTAGATAGCTATAATTTAAGTAAGAGCAATTAGCTGCCATATTTTGTGCAATATGTACTGTCCGAGAGAATGCTTTATAGCTAATTTTAGTCATAAGAATTCGGTACTTGTGTTTTCAAGCTTCTAGCACTGACAATGACTACAATTGACACCATTTCACTTATAATTACTAGTTATATGAACTAAATTTTTGCTCTTACTGTCACGGTACGCCGTTACTAATTAAGTAACTGTAAATTAATGAATGCTTATGAATAGATAAGATAAGGTTATGTGCTATGTTTTAATGCGCTTGTAGCTGATAATAGGATGGTAGAAATGAGATAAAAATAGAAGTTGTTAGCAGTTAATTTACTGTAGGTTTATAAGTTGTGTTAATCTCTAAAAATTGAGCTGTATATGGACGAAGGTTAAGCGTCTTAACACCTGATAGCTTGTAGCTATCTAAGTCTGAGAATATCGACATGTATATTTAGTAATGGTATTATACTAATTAATGTAACTTGTAAAGCATGAATTCTCACTCGTTAACACCAGAATTCACTGTAGAAACCTATTTAAGCGCGTGTGTTTGTAGAATAAAGAAAGTAATTGCTCAAGAAACGGCAAGACTCATATCGTGAAGAATAGTGTAATAATTAGTCAGTTGTCTGTGGAGATCAGCCGAGAAATCGAGTTCTCAAATACTTCTCTCATAGAAACTGAAAGTACTGGGAGAAATAGCCCAAGTTTTAAGTAACTACACTAGAGTTCTTTACTTTCCTTTGCCACAAGTGAGGGTTGTGACACTTACTCCTTATTTCTGTTTATAATAAGTTCTAAATACGCCTTTTATGCAGTAATGTTATTAAGCGATTATACTGTTGTGTAACATTAAAATCTTTGAATTATAATCTCATGGTATTATAATAACTTATATAGTTAGTGTATTTAATATTATATGAAATAAATACACTAGTTAATATCCAATACTATTTCTAAGATAATATGCAATATCTGAACAATATATCTAATATTAAACCATCTGAGTAAAACATTACATTTGGATACAATAATAAAACTAACTCGAAAGACTAGTAGTACTAGTATTCTTATATGAAAGTTAATAAGTAAGTAAAATGCTGTAAGATAGCTGGATAATTGATTGTTAAAAGAACCGCTATAGAGAGCTTAAGGGATTCTGAGTGTAAGATGATCATTATAGAGAAATTAAAAATTCAAATGGGTTTTGGATAGCATTGAATCGATATAAAATTTTATCATACTTAATGGCTAGAAACTCAATGGTTATGATAATTTCTTTCGAACATATTGCTTTGATGCTAATTGAATTATCAAGATATTACTTATTACAGACTGAAATAAAAAAATCTATGTTTTGATCTTGCTTCTGTCATTTTTAATTATCATCCTATTAAAATATCAATATTTTACTAATTCATAATAAGATTAGCAGTAACAAATCTGTTTAATTAACTTCATTGATTTATCTTAATTTTATCTACCTGATCAAGGATGCTTTATTATCTGATAATAGGAATATTTCTTTATCGATATTTTCTACCTTATTAATAAACTATCAATGATTGATCGTTTGTTAGTTATCGTAAAACTGGTATACCATATAATCCGATAATACGAATATTTCTTTATCGATATTTTCTGCCTTATTAATAAACTATTATTAATCGATCGTTTATTAGTTGTCATGAAACCGGTAGTGGTAAATCATGGTTAATAAACTTATTTCTTAACCTTTACCTCGTTCCCTGCAATTATGAAATGAATCAACTGATAGATAGGGGTCATAATAGTTATTACGTTATCAATATCATTAGTAACATTGCTTGGATCGATTACTTATCAATTTATAATAGCGATATTACGCTCTATTTTATTTTGATGTTACCATTAAATTGTTAGCTTATGAGTATTATAATGAAATTAGTAATGATAATTGGAAATAAACTCTTTTCCGGACTTTTTATTCTGTTAATAACGGAATAGTTAGGAGTTTATGATAAGGCTAAAGATAATTATTAATCAAAATTCTTGTTATCACTATTAATAATCTGTCCCTAGCAATGCAAAATGATCAATCGCTTTCCAAAGATCTCTATATAGATAGCTACGTATATAACATTTACATGTGAAGTATTCTTTATTACGATGTAACTTATGATTGCTTTTATACTTAAAGTATGTTACCGATATAGGACAAAATAAATTTTAATTTTACTAACCATCCATAATTTGCTGTATCATATAAAATAATCAGATCGACATTTGTGTTTATGTTTATATTATAAAAATAGAAATTCATTTCTTAATTTTCTAAACAGCTAGAACTAGTCCTTTGATGGTTTATTGCTACGTATTGTTGAATTGTAGAATATATTAGAGTATTTTTGAAAGTTAATAACGTCAAATATTTTACATCTATCACAATTTCTAGATTGCTTTTTTAAGTGTAAATTCTATCGCTTAAACAACGTCTCGTCTATAGAGGTTGTAAAGTATTGTAACTTCTCTTTCTAAATGAAGACAATGGAATGATCAATTATAATTACGTTAAACCGGATGTTTACGATCGCTGAAATACAGCAGAATCCAAATTAGAATTATTCCGCTACATGGAAAATTTCTTTAAACATTGCTACGATTGTTAATACAAAAAGATATAATTAATGTAATAGTTAAAAGAGTTTTATTGATCTATTTGACGCCTGAAATATCGAGATGTTATTTTTAATGGACTGGTAATCATCTTCAGATAAAAAATTCGGCTTTATGGTATTAATTAAATAATTCGATTGCCCGCGAACAATCACAAATGTAAAATTTAGTTTATTATTATCCGTGATTGTAATTCATCCCTATCAGTCTGTTCTGATTTATAGGTAAATGATACTATTCATTGTTTAAATTTATCTGATATTATCCAATAAAATTTCATTTATTAACGAAGAAAAGTCTTTAATTTATTGTTTTCGCTTTATATCGTGCCTGATTAATTCTCCTATTATCCATTGAGAATCGTCGATATATACTTACTAAAGAATCCAAACTATAACATGCCAAAATAGCTTAATCTATATTCAATATAAGGACAAGACCGAAGTTAACTTCAAAACTTTTATATTTCTAATTATAAATATAAAATCAATTGATCAACAAATTTATATATTACAAGTTAACTAAATAAATTAATAAACAAAATTTCGTGCTAATTATGGGGAGATAATTATCAAATCGAATGTTAAGTTGTAAAATATTATTATCTAATCCCTTTAAAACTATTATTGACAGAATAACTAAATAAGAATGAAAGATCAACTAAATATGATAATGAAGAGCTTAGTTCCTAATATTATTCTGCAAGAATCAATTCTAAAAGCCATGGAAATAATATTCCACGTTCATTCGGA